GGCAAGGGGTTGGGGGAAATCCCCCCCCCCCCCAAGAACAGTCGTGTTTCCCCCAGGATTGCAGGGCTCTTGTAAGGGAACTAGTTCACTCCATAAATGACTATAAACAATAGCAACTCTCCCCTTGACAGTTTTCTCATCCTGTCCTTCCCACCGGAACAGGTTTCTTCCTTCAATCCCTTCAAGAGGAGATTTCAGAAGGGAAAGCCCACAGGGTTCTCACAGATACCAGTGGGGCCACTGATTGAACACCTATTGGAGAAATCAGAGCCTCTGATGTCTACTGAGATACAAGGTGACTAGCCTGGGTCTGCTGATGAATGAGTGCACGTGGGCTTGCCCACTGTGTATCTATTTCCAGAGATGGGTATATACGATACGGGGCACATCCACTGCTGGCCACATATTAATCAGGGAGATGTTAGCCCAGGTTTCCAAGGAACTAACGCAAGCCCAAGGTTCGTAATGGCTACAAAAGGTGGAAAAAGAATGAGAAACCAGTAACAGGAAACCCAGAAGTACCAAGAGTCCCTTGCTCTCCCTCTTCAACAGTAAGCGACTAGGAAGTTCATAACCATTCACAGTCAGGCTGTGGGTCATCTAAGCCTTCCAGGAAGGGACTTGTCAGAAGGGTCTAATGTGAGGGGATCACTCACCCAGTGGCAGGACGAAGAAGAAGGGGAACCAGCAAAGGACGAAGACACCCACGACGATGGCCAGCGTCTTGGCAGCCTTCTTCTCGCGGGAAAACTTGAGCAACCTTACTGAGAGTGAGCTGCGCAAGGTGTGGCCCTTGCTACTCTGTGCCCCATGGGTTCCTTTGGCGCTAGTGGCTGCACCGCGACAGTGGATCCTCAGCACCACTTCGGAGGCCTTACCAGGCTCCCGCTTGATGCCTGCCTCGAGGCTGCGCGTGGTGCTGCGAGCGACCACATACACGCGGCAGTACATGACCACGATCACCGTCATGGGCAGGTAGAAGGAGCACACAGAAGAGAAGACAGCATAGCCCACTTCCTCAGTGATGCCACAGAAACGCTCATCCGGGGGCACTGGCTCCTTCCAGCCCAGTAGCGGTCCCACGGACACCACCAGGGCCACCGCCCAGAGCAGAGCCAGGATGGCAGCTGCCTTGCGCTCTGTCATAATGGCTGGGTACTTCAGTGAGTGGCGCACACCCACGTACCGGTCCACAGAGATGGTGCAGAGGCTAAGGATGGAGGCAGTGCAGCACAGGACGTCCACAGCGGCCCATACGTCGCAGAAGGTCCGGCCAAAGGCCCAAAAGCCTAGAACCTCCATAGTGGCCGAGAAGGGCAGCACAGCCGCACTCAACAGCAGGTCAGCCACCGCTAGGTTCACGATGAAATAATTGGTGACCGTTTGCAGGTGGCGGTTGCAGGCCACCGAGAGGATGACGAGCAAGTTGCCCGCTACCGCGGTGAGGATGAAGGCCGCTAGGAAGACTCCCACTCCCACGCCCTGTGCACTCACCACCAGCCCCCCGACGGCCGCCGAGCCATTCACTTCGCCTCCGGCCGCAGCCCCCGGTTCTCCCGTGGAGCTCTGGTTGTCCTCGC